AATATAATATCTTATTAAGATATAGTCGTAAAGAGCTCGAATCTTCGATGAATAGATTATCTTCCCGCGGTCGCTAACTATAATAGAGCACTTTAGGGTTCGGCGTATATATATAATAACGTATAGAGGCCTATCCAGTAGATCGGGAATCGAGAACGCGTTTCTAGTTAATACTAATAAGATAATATCACCACTAATACTATTCGAAGGGGTAGCGGCTAGGGCTACGAATATCTAGTACAGTAGGGGCATCGAGGAATAAGATAGAACTAATAAAACACTTAGGAATTAGATAGACAGCGCTAAAAAGCCATGAAATTCATGATACTCTGCTCAAACTATTTAATCTGTAATGAATGGCACACTGCCAGCACTGTAAACTATTCCGCACCCCCTTCTCTACCAGCCCATTTAGGTTTGACATGTGACCTAACAGATCTCTGCCTGCCACCGCTCTATCAGCCCAGCACAGCTCATCACAGCACAGCCACCTCGCCTTGTTATAGCAGTATTTGCGAAGTCGGACGAACTAAGTAACCACTATAGATCGCCCCTTAGCGTTAAGTTCTATTTACCGAGAGAGATAGTCTAAAGGCGGGAGTTGGTCTTTAAAGATCTTATTCCGTGGTTCCTCCTACGGTTCGACTGGCTCTCGATGCATCGTCGCTTGTAAATTAGGGCCTGACTTGATCTCGCCAATAAGGGATGCAGAAAGCCTATGAATTTGTGCGCGTTAGATAGATCCCTATTCAAGAGAAAGTGCGAATGGGTGATTGAACTTTTATGGCTTATATCGGTATCAGCGTTGCTAAGAATCGATTCCTTCGATTCCGATTCCGATTCACAGACCCCTAGGAGTCGAGAATCGATTCATGAATCGATTCCTCGCTATCTGATTAGCTGTAATGACGTTATTCCGCTCCGATGGCGGATAGACCCTAGTCAGCCCAGTGTTTTAGGCATTACGCAGCCTCAAAAGACGTTACCGATAGACGATTACGGTCGTCTATAACCGCCCTCTTCAACTAGCTAAACACTCTCTCAAGTTTAGTAGAAGTTATAAGTATTGATAGAGTATTGAAGGCCCATTAGCGAAGAGCTCTATAATCGTAAGTTATCTACTAGCGGAATAGATTTTCGGCCTTCTAATCGATAAAGGCGGTTAGGCGGGCATTGATATAGCGATCGAAGGCCTCCTCCGCGGTATAAAGCTTAGATCGCTGTAACTAACTAATAAATATAGATAGAGAGGATCGTAGCTCATTAGAAACGCTCTTAAGCGAATTTTCGCGGTAGTTCTTCTCTTAGATCTCTTTATTCTTTTTAATTATAGGCTAGATTAGCTACGCGATATCGTCGGTCTAGGAACTTTCGAAATATCGCCTACGGAGATAAGGATTTAGAAGGGCGGCGGTAGTATAGATCTTATGGTGATTATTTATAATTCTATTATATTTTTATAGGATCTCTTAGGCGTTTTAATAATGTAATGGAAGAAGTTTAAAGTAGGGGATAGCTTTATAATTGGCTGGGGCGTCGACGCTAGACTAAGATTCTTCTTATATAGTCCTCGGGAACTATCATTTATAGAATAATCAATTAAGTTATGAACGGAAGAACTTCCTTTGGTTGAGTGTGCGTGCTGTGAAGAGGCTAGCCTACCGCCGTACGAGTTGACGCCCATGGCTAGTAGCCTCGCCCCAGTTCAATAATAGATAAGTAGAGAATTCGAATGAGCTAAGTGTCGTGTCGTTTATTCTTATCTTCGCCTTCCGAATAGTTCTTCTTCTTATTAAGCGCTATACGCGTTTATATAGTTCTTAAGATGGTAGAAGAGAAGATTAAACGTAGGATGGGCCTTCTAGATAACGCCGTAAGAGCTATTTAAGCCGTGATCTTTTAATCTTAGTGTTACCTTCTAAAATGATTTTAGGCCGTAATATATTATTTTTAGTTATATTTAGTCTTTATCCGTGAGAATATTAGCTTTAGGGACGCCATTATTCTATATAAGGTAGATCTTAAGTAGTTCTTTTAGCCGGAGATCTCTACTAATCGATAAATAAGTAGAATTCTATCTGGTGGCGTTGTTAAAGAGAAGTTATAGTTATAGTCGTAAATCGCCGAATTTAAGATTAGAAGCGGGTTCGCCTAGAGTAGCTAGATTAAGTAATTAATTCGACTATAAACGTATTAATTAATCTAATTTTATAGACTTTAAACAAGATAGTTATCTAATTAGATAATTATAACGAATTAAGAAACTTACCTCGAGTCTTAATCTACTTTATTACTATCTCGATAACTATCTTAAACGCTTACTTACGATAAGTTAAGCCTTCAATAAACCTAACAATATTATGAAACTTACCGATTACGCCTTTTAATCTCTAGAGCTTCTATTCGCGGGTAATCGTACTCTCTTCTACTCGTAACGCCGATTCCGATATAACTTATGCTGTCTTAACGAAAGTCTCGGTGAATTTACTAAAGATAAACGTCTACGTAACGAGATTAATAATGTAAGTGAGACATCGACTTCTCCGAGATCCTACCTCTTTATCTGGATGAAAGCGCTTAACTAATAGTTTATAGATAGTTCCGTAGTTTACGATATTATCTAAGATATAAACGCCTAGTTTATTCTATAGATCGAACTCTTTAATTACCGTAGCTATTATCTCTACGATCGTCTCTTCTATATACGCGCTCTTAAGAAAACGTAGGTTTAGTAGGTAGTGTTTTAACTAAAAGAATATACTTAAGAAATAAGCGTAAATACTAAGAACTGAAACGCCTAAAGATAAGATTTAGAGATTAAAGCTGAGATAAATATTTAATTAACTCTTATATAATAGAGTCTTAATCTTAGTCTTTTCTATTTTGAACTCGTCGTCGATCTACGCCTTTATTATTAAATGTGATCTAACTAGATATAATTTAAGAGAAGATTAAAGATATAGTAGTAGTTCCCGAAACTCCTCTTATTTCATAGCGAAATAAGGGACTTATTACTATATAATTTATCGTAGAAATAAGTTTCTAAACTTATCGATATTATAAGTGGTTAATAACGAGCTAAAGATCGACGAAGTTAGCCTCGCGGACTTTATAGACGAACTCTAACTTAAAAGACTTTTAGTGTCGATTTTCTCTTCTATATTAGATTAGCTACGTTTTAGAAGTAACTTGTGAACGTCTTTAAGGTGCTGTCTCTAATTAATAGTACTCATTAACGTCGACAACGCGAGAACGGTGTGTTAAGGTTCCTACTGGGGCCTAACTGGGTTAGGGTTCCTAGTAACAATCCTGATAGTATGAACTGGTTGTGAATCACGCAAGGTATGAACAGCCACCTGTTACTAAAGAACAAGGTCCAATAGTTAACATGAGTTGGCTACGAAGGGAGTGTAAGCTATCTAGGGGTAATGAGGGTGTATATATAATGCTAGCGCTCTGTGCGCTCTGTGCGCTCTGTCTCAGCAGGGCCGACAGGGCCAGCAGGGCCAGCAGGGCATATCACGTGACCCAGCCTTGTTCTCCTGTGGATCCTTCTAGTTGTCCAATGAGTGTGGTGAGCCGCGCCTTTGCAGCTCGTGACCGGTCTCCCTCAAGGCTGTGTCTAACACGGTGTCGCATAGATAGCAGATCTAAACGCGAGGAGCATTAGGTCTTTCGAGGTTTAGGTATTCATCGCTATGTCGCCAGATGTCTGAAGTGCCTGATTTACGCCTAATATTTAGGTGGCGGCTCACCTAAAGCTATATAACGCCATTAATCCTTCTGCTCTCAGATCGCCGCGATACTGGCGGTGTTGGTGTTGCAAAAACCGAGGGTGGAGGATCACTAGTAACTATCGACGGTGAGGGCGATTCGATGGTAGGAACTACGTTCTGTGACATCTTACTATACAATTTACTAATAAAACTATCGCTTAGATACGGAACCCCAACGCTGTGGCCATTGCCAAACCTGCTAAGTGTTGGTCGATCATGAATCGATTCCTACCAACAACGAGGAATCGATTCAAGATCGAATCGATTCAAGATTACATAATCGATCAATGAATCGATTCTTGGCAACGCTGATCGGTATAGACTTCTCACGCTCTTTTGGACTTCAATACGTGGACGAACGGTAGGGTTGCTCAACTATGACTTTATTTATCGTAGGTATTGAGTTCGGATCTTTGCATGACCTATGTACGACCTACGAGCTCATAAAGATATCCTGAACGGGTAAATGGAGACATGATTTTGGACCCCGTTTAGGACTCCTCCCAGGGGTCCAAGTTCTGGGTCCTGGATCTTGAATTTGGGGTCCTCGATGACTGTAGCAATAGACCATATTCGGACCCCTTACCCTGCATGACATAAGTGCAGTGAACGACGAATTACCTTAACCTGGCTACTCGTACACTATTTGCGTACCCTAGTTTCTAGTCACTTCTCTATCGCTCTTTTAATAACGCTGCTGAAGAGGAACATCTCTCGTCTAATCTGAGACAACAACAATATCCGAACATATTTTGTTTATTCAGATTCGGACTGGGGCAATATAGGAGTTCACGGAGGTACCTATTCGAGGAAGAGGAGGATTTCCCAAGCCGCATTGTGGAAATCGCACCAGGATGTCCGTGCCTGAGAAGGGAGAATACGACGATAGTGCACGTTCGCAGGCCCAAGGAGCCTTACTTCACTCGATCTGCTGCGCCATCACCGGAATCCGATGGGGGAGATATCGCCAGTAATTTTGAAGAAAATTAAGGAATAGGTGTTTCATCACCGGAATCTCGACGCCAACCTCACGTGAACTCGCGCCGCTTTTGCTTAGGCTGGATCACGTCTGGCTCAACTTCGGCTCAGGCCTGCTCAGTCTGCTTCCTGTGTCGTGGCAGTGGCCCAAGATTCCTCTCTCCAGACTGCCAAGTTTTGACGAGGGCCCAAAAGAAGGCCCCTAACAGCTCCCACCGCACCACGTCTTCCTCCCCCACTGCAATACTAGCTGACCTGTGATCCTAAATATTTGACGAAATTTGGAGCGCCAGAATGTGATGTCCAACCCCCATCAACCACAAGGCCTAAATGAATATGGGAGTTAGCAGGAAATTGTTTACCATTTTCTCAGCACGCGACTCACATGCCCCGTTTACATATGATGCATCATCAGATGCTAGGAAAGATACTGCTTTTGCGACCTCTGACGGGTGGCTGCCCCGTCCCAGGGGAATCGTAGTCTCAAGTTCTTCCAAGATCTGTGGGTGCTCTCGGAATTTGCTTGTCAACGGAGTGATCATGTATCCAGGACACACCACATTCACTCTGATACCCTCTCTAGCATGGTCCAAAGCCATAGCCTTCGAAAGGTTTATGATGCCTGCCTTGGCAGCATTATATGCGCACAGTCCATAATCTGCGAATAACCCTGACGTGCTCCCAACGTTCACGATGACACCTTTCTTCTGTTTCTGCATTTGCGGAATGGCCACCCTGGCGAGATAGAATGCAGAGCACAAGTTTGTTTGGATGACCTTCTGAAAGGCAGCCAAATCAAGCTGTGGTACCGGAGCAATCTGGCCACCTCCGCCAGCATTATGAAACAAGATATCCAGTCGGCCGAACTCCTCGATACAAGCCTCGATGGCCGTCTTGCATTCCTCGGGGTCGGAAACGTCGCATTTTCGATATACTACTCCCGCACCCAGTCTCTTCAAAATGTCTCGCTCTTCTAAATCTGTAGCGAATACTTTGGCTCCTTCTCTCGCGAAGATTTCGCAGGCTTCGGCACCAAGGCCAGAGCTGCCTCCGGTGACAAACACAACCTGGTCAATGAATCGCGAAGAGGACATATTGGCGACCGAGTTCAAAGGCTTTGTAGATACAAGTAGAGGCAGTAACACGATTTTACAGTGATTAAATGTCGAACAGGCCGATCATTGCTGTTTGAACATGTGAGAACCTCAATAAAAGTCAGGTAATGGGGATACAGTCACCATAACATGACAGACTTCGTTAGACGACCAAATATGACACACCGAATACTTGAGATCTGACATTTTAATTTTATTATTCACTGAATCACTTCTGTGTCTCCTTTGACCAAGGCCTTCTACCGTAGAGCTGTATTTAGAGCTGACTTCTCGAATTTATGAAGTCATATTGCCGACATGTGCTGACTTATTGCACTTTTTAACCTCGCCTAGTCCCGGCACGAATATGGCCACTAAATTCCAGATATTGGACCGCCCGATTGATGATGTCCCTTCAATCAAAGCAATTTGTGTTGGAGCAGGAGTTTCTGGTATTTTGACAGGCATAAGACTGCCTCAACGAGTGCAAAATTTAGAGTTGGTGATATACGAGAAATCGCCAGAATTGGGGGGGACATGGCTTGAGAACACATATCCTGGAGGTATGCACTGCCGATGTGGGGCTCTGAATTCTACTACTGACTTTTGCAATAGTTGCCTGCGGTCTAGGCCTATTCCTATTCCCGTGCAGGGCCATACGGGAGACTAATATAGAACAGATATACCAGCGGCCGCGTATCAGTTATCCTTCGAAAATAATACACAGTGGAGCTCATACTATGCTTCAGGCCCAGAGATACTCGAATATTGGAAGAGAGTCGCTCATAAATATGATGTGTTCAAGTACATGAAGTTCAACACCGAGGTCACTGAAGCACGGTGGAACGCAGACGATGGCTTGTGGGCTGTTAAACTGAAAGATACAAACTCAGGAAAAGTACTCTCCTGTGCCCATGTGTGAAACCAATCCTTTGCTGACTGGCTTTCGCAAACCAGGAGTGGTCGGATAGCGGAAACTTTTTGATTATTGGCACCGGTATTCTTAATAAGTTTGACTGGCCCAATATCCCAGGACTCCATGACTTCAAAGGCCATCTCGTTCATACCGCGCGATGGGACCATTCATACGATTTCACAGACAAGAAAGTGGCACTCATCGGCGGCGGCTCTTCCGGAATCCAGATTCTTCCAAAGATCCAACCACTGGTAAAGCATTGCGATCATTACATGAAAGGCCGAACATGGATTGCGTACCGGATCCCCGGCAAGGAAATTTCGGGAATGAACCCTGATAACCTCGAAAACTGTGCGCACCCTTACTTCGTTCGCTGCTTTATCTTTATTTACTGATCAGAACAAAACAGTCCAGCACACAGAAGAAGATCTCGCCAAGTGGCGCAATGATCCCGCGGCTTACCTCGACTTCAGATGTGCCGTGGAAGATAATCTTAACTCAGCATTTGACTTCATAAGAAATGGTACTGAGGTGCAAACAAAGGCAAGAAAGCTGTTTGAAGATACCATGAAAGAGAGGCTGTCAAAAAAACCTGAAGTATTCGAGGCTTTAAGGCCCGAATATCGTAAGTTAGGCTTATTCAGCACTTGTGCAGAGAACACGACTGACTTACTGGCTCCAGCTCCTGGTTGTCGCAGGCTGACCCGTAAGTATTGCACAGTCTGCAACTTCTTGAATTTATTTTGTGTATGTTGTTGACAAGCCATGGCTTGGTGAAAACAGCTGGACCAGGTTATCTAAAGGCAATATGCGAGGATAACGTCAACTTCATCAGTATTCCTATCGAAAGAGTTGTCGAGACTGGCATCATCGCCAGTGACGAAATCCAACGAGATGTCGATGCTATAATCTGTGCTACTGGCTTCGACTAGTGAGTATTACCACTTACGGAAACACCACGACGAAGAGCATCTCACCCGCTCTGTAGCTCTTATAAACCACGCATCCCGACTTACGGACTTGGAGGCAAGATCCTGAGTGAGGTCTGGGAATCAATCCCAGAGGCCTACCTGTCCATGTGTCCTTCACAAATGCCTAATTACTTCTTATACCTCGGCCCCAATGGCGGGCCCGGCAATGGAAGCACAATCATATTCCTGGAATTGGTAGCCGAATACATTTGCAAAGCGGTTCATAAGGTGCAACGCGAAGGTTTGAAGTCTATGGTTCCGAAGTGAGCGCGTCTTTACGACAAATAGTTGCTCGAACTCATCCAGGCTTACACTGTTTGCACAGGGACGAACCGATAAAACAGTTCGGACAATATGTCGACAAGTACATGGAGCTAGTGACTTATGGATCGAAAGCAAGGAGCCCCCATCTCTCGTTTAGATATCCCAGGGACGACAAAAGCTGACCGAGCTTTGCATGCAGTGCCGTTCATGGTTCAAGAGAGGACAAGAAGAAGGACGGGTTGTGGGTGAGTTACGGCCTGGGGTGGGAGGCAATAAATTATAGGCACTGATCACATGCTCAGCTCTCTGGCCTGGAGGTAGCATGGCTGCAATCAAGGCCCTTCAACATCCCAGGTGGGAGGATTTCAACTATACCTTGAAAGAAAATACGGCGGTGAACATGTGGAGCTGGTTTGGGAATGGAACTACCAAAGCTCAACAGGAGAGGAGAAGCACATCCGACTATCTGCGGCATGCAGATGTCCCCCCGGTGCCTACGAAACGCCCTTCAACAGTGGCGGAGATTGCTCTAGGAGCTGTCACGGATTCTGTGGCTTGACCGAGCCAGCAGACAGCAGCGCCATACAGTCGGGAATCGGTCCAAGAAGCCTTCAACTAGTTGCAACGCCAACCGGTGCAGACATCATTGCAGCTGGGGTTAAGAAGCTTTATTTTTGGCGACGGCCATGCTTCAACCAGGAGTTGTTACTGGGCTTATCATAGTCTTGCGGGAAGCAATATTCCAAGCACAGGTGCGGATACGCATCTTCGAAATCGCAATGACTGGAAGAATGAACACACAAGACTCCCCAGCTACTCTGTACTCTAGCTATGTAATGAGAGGTGCTGGCCGCCTGAGGCCCTGACGGATTTCCTGACCTAAGATGTGGCCCGAATCGTCTAGAGTTAGCGGGGAATTCGAGGGCCCCAGGGCGAGGCCGAGGGGCCCTGAGTCTCGTTATCCTCTGCCTTCGCCTGCTGAGTGAGCCTGATGACAGCGGCACCAGCACTCGCGCCCAGCCATTGCTTACCCCACGGGGAGTTCCAGGCACCAGGACAGTGTGGTGAGCCCCACTACCTGCCTACCCAACATCAGCTGTAACACAGCCCCTGTAGTTCTTGATTGACAACACAGACTCGACGCCACCGAGTACTCTCTGGTTGACTGTGAGAAAATCAACAGTCATCACCGTTCGAAACCTTATAATATACGGGACAAATCTCTGTCATCGATGAAAAGGCGGTGTCCGCCAATACCTATAACGCTACGAGTCTCCACAGGGTAGCCATGGAAAGCACAACTCTCACTTCATTTGATTGTTTTGCGTGGGCCAGCCAGGCTCAAGTGTTCTACGAACGTCATGGATTCTACATCTCCCATCACCACCCTTCGAAAGCTCGAGATTGAGCATGCCGATGCGGGTGTGTTGCAAGATATCGAGATCTCCAAGGCACTTACGACGGACCAAAGCACGCTGGCAGAAAAGGGATATTTCTTTCATGCCCAGTTGGTCGGAAGCATCGCTTCGATCAGCTGCGCAGTGCTTGCCTCTTATTGGGGATTCGCCCCGGCAGCAGCCATTCTGACCGAGATTAACGCCGACATTGGTAAGTTCTCTTTCAGGGTTACCCTTTATCGAGACTCACAGATCCAGGACCCAGTGAAAATGCCAGTCTGTTCTCCATTATCTGGACTCTATGTGTTGGCCTCGCTGCCATCCTATTCGGAAGGACATCGGACAAGTTTGGTAGGCGGTGGTTTGTCATTGGAGCTAGCACCATGAGCTTCATTGGAGGTGGGTACATTGAAATTGTGTCGTTCTAGTCCTGCTCATCTTGTCAAGGAATCATTGCTTGCACCGCAAAAAACATGGATATTCTAATCGGCGCCAACGTAAGTACTTCAAGGGTTATCCTGTTGGGTTACTAACCTGTCAAGGTCCTGTTGGGCTTGGGAGCCGGTGTTCATACTTGCTATGCCTTGATCGTGGGCGAGATCTGTCCTAACAAGTACAAATTCGTTGGGATTGTGTTCTGTGTAATTCCTAATGTTGTGCCGACGGGATTCGGCGCCTATCTAGGTGTGTCCTCCGGCAAAAAAACGGACCGGAAGAATGGTACTGACATGAAAAAGCCCTCATGCTCGTCCACAACGCAGATTGGAGGTATGGTACTTTGGTTCCACAATGAAGGAAATCTTTGCTAACCCAAGAAGATGGGTCTATTATATTCAGTTAATGATGATGTTCCCTGCGATCATCCTGCAACTTGTTTATTATCGGCCGCCTGGTTTCAAAAGGCTCCACGGCAATACCCGAACCTGGTCGGAAGAGATTAAACGGGTCGATATTGTTGGAGCAATCCTGCTTTCTGCCGGGCTTTGTTTGTTCATACTTGGAATCTCCTGGGGTGAGTTATCCTTACAAGGCCTGATGATGAAGAAGCTCATCTCTTCAGGTGGCCAGCCACTTCCATGGACTTCCTCGCGCATCCTGGGCCTTACCATCTCCGGTGGTATCACTTGCGTCATATTCACACTTTGGGGTCAGTACATTGTGACGAATGTTGAAGAGAGGTTCTGAACATGTTCTTCAGAAATTTACTCCAAAGTCCCCAACCCGCTAGTCCCGATGTATGTCTTCCGGGACCTCCGGGGATATGTCTGCCTCACCGTAATCATTTCTGTATCCGGAGTCATCTATATTGCTCTCAGCATCATATGGCCTTCGCGTAAGTTGATCTCAACAGCTGGTATGCCATCACTGATAACACTCTACAGAGGTTGCAAGGATATACGGTGCTGGAGCTACCAGCTGGCAGGGCAACGCATGGCTATCAGTGAGTGACCAATCGACCTCTACTTTTGGCGTTGAGCTCACAATGCAAGACTACCGTTGCTTTTGGGATATGGGGCGGGATTGTTGGGTTCGGGTCTATATTTCACATCGTAAAACACATCCGTTACCAGCTGATCGTATATATGTCGGTTACTGTTGTCTTTTGTGGAGCTCTATCAACATGTAACACCCAAAACAAAGGCCAAAGTGCAGCATTTTCGTTCCTCGCAACTCTTTGTGCAGGAATGCTGGAGGTCACTCCAGGAGTACTTGTGCAACTCGACGCCGACGACGCAAATCTGGGCACCGTCACCAGTAAGGTAACCCCCGGGGCTGCAGGAACGCAATTGCTGACTCTCTTGCTTTCAGCTGTGCTAGGGTTGATCAGAACCGCGACCGGATCAATCATGACGGCCGTGTTCTTAGCCATTCTCTCAAGCAAAGTTCCCAAGGAAATCCTCCGAAATGTCCCTCCTGCTGCTGTCGACGCTGGATTACCGAAATCATCACTACCTGCTCTATTGGCTGCTATTACAACAGGGACGTCTGAAGCTTATGCAAAAGTCCCCGGGTTGACGGCAAAAATCGAAGCAGTAGTATCAGAAGCGCTGGCTCAATCCTATGCGGCAGCCTATGCCTATGTTTACTACGCTGCGGTTGCTGTCGGTATCGTGGGCATGGTTGCTGTTATTGCGATCAAAGATTACGATAGCATGCTCACAGGACACGTACCCCGGCAGATCTATAAGCGGGGAGAAGAAGATGAGAAAGTGAGAGAAGAAGTTGAGAACAAACTAGAGCCGACCAAACTGAGAGTGGAACACAAAGGGCAAGACGCTTAAGCATTACTCACAAACTCACCCACTGCGAGAGAATGCCCCAAGGGGCCGCCCGAGGACATAAGTCTCTCGGGCGTAGGCCACGCAGAGTCTTTACCAACTATAACTGAAAATGAAATACGATTCCAATTCTATTATTTCAGCAACTACACAATGTAGATGATCGGGCCATTTTCTACAGCGTTGGTGGATGTCTTGAAAAAGTGTGACCGCAGAGTTCCACTTCATTGTACTTACCGGTGTTGGTCATATTACCCAGTGGCCCAGTCCGCTTCTCGGGGTTCTCACGGTTCCGGGTACAGCATTAATGAAGTTCTGGCCAGAAACGTATCGCCTAATGAAACATAAAATGGTCACTAGATTTTGGTGTCTCGGGAGAGGACGTGTGGAGATATGTGGGGTTAGACTCTGGGGTTGCGGCAGGAAAAAAGGTGGTTGACCGGGATTTTGATGACTGTCCCTGACAACTCTCAAAGAGTTTCCGCCCCGGAGCGTTGCCTCGAGTAGCGTTGGCTTGATTTCGTTTTTCAGTCCGCCAATCATCAAAGTAGAGGCAGCAGGCTAACGACAAGACAGGGAGCGAGTACAAACAACATCGTATGGCTGCAGAAGAACCAAGAGACGAAGAATTAATCATTTGTGAACACTGCATCTGACTCACGTTCCTCCTTGTCACGACCCTGACGGCCCACTCCAGCCAATTCTGAGAAGCTGGATGACAGTAGGTGCTCGCTCAAATGCGGGTGTACCTCGGTGGGTATCATCGTTGCGCCTCTGGAGACGACAGCTATCTACAAGAACTGTATTCGATGTTCCCGACCAGACCACATTCCTTTCGAGAGCATCAAAACAAGAGACAAAAATGTCAACGCTCATTCCAGAACCCGATGGGCTCGCTATAGACGGCAGAGATCCAACTGTAATACGGTCTTTTCTCAGATTCCTAACCTCCCTTTTCGTTGCCATCATTTTCTGGCTCATCGGCGTAGCTGTTTACCGCCTATACTTCCATCCATTAGCCAGGTATCCAGGGCCATGGTACATGAAAATCAGTGGGTGGTACGACTTCTTCATCGCCTACGGGGAGCATAGGCACTTACATTTCCAATACCTCCACCAAAAGTATGGTTCGTTGTCAACTGTGGACTGCTTTCCTGTGGGAGGAATGACTGATTCAATCAAGGACCGGTGGTTCGCTATGGACCCAATGAGCTTGCATACAACACACCTAGCGCTTTCCAAGGTAAGCCGCCGCGAACGAATATGGTCATCATGGCTCTAAACCCGTAACAGCAATCTATGGGTTCAAGGCAAATGTCCAAAAGGGTCACGCCGTCACGGTTGGAGTCACAAGCGACCCAGACAGTAGAAGCACTTTCAGCGAGACAGACAAACAACGTGCCATGAAGAAGCGTAGGGTTCTGTCTCAGGGCTTCTCGGAGTCAGCGTTGAGCTCCGCGGAGTGTAAGTGGCCCAATTGCTTTCTGAGAAGAGGCGTCAAAAAATGCTGATTCACGACAGCTTTTATGATCAGTCAAATCGAGACACTTTGTAAGCAATTGGCCAACACATCGACGGAAAAAGTCAAAGACTTGTCACTATGGCTAAATTACCTCGCGTACGACATTATGGGAGAGGTGGTTTTCGGAAGGAGTTTTGATATGTTGACCGATCCTTCACTGCGCTATGTGTTGTCTCTCATCGACGCGTCTGTTTTCTGCACTCTTTTGGCAAGTATATTGCGCATGTTCCACAGTGGCTCTTTGAGACTGACTTACCAAAGGGAGGGGTTATGCCGCTACTTTATAAAACCGGGTTGATTGCCTTCTTTGTTCCCAAGGTCCTCACAATGAGGAAGCAATTCATCAAGTACGTCAATTCTACAGTGGAGCAGAGGTTGCAACAGGTACCCGCATCGGACAAGGAAGACAGGAAAGATTTCTTCTACTATGTACGCTCATCTCCATTATCCTTGAGGTGACCATGGCGCTGAAAGATCAAGCTACTCAATACGCGAGACTCTGAGACGGGTAAGCCGTTATCGAGAACGGCATTGCTTACAGAAGGACTACTGCTGGTGACGGGTGGAAGTGATACAACATCCACTGGTAAGTCCTGGGGATGGCTTTTTGTCGATAGAGATGTTGATCAACCGTCTCAAGGTATGGCTGCGACCATCTTCTACCTCCTCAAATATCCTAGATGCCTAGAACGGCTATACGAAGAGCTATCCCGTACGTTCGACCACGTTGACGAGATCCGAACTGGGAGGAAACTCAAAACCTGTCTCTACCTGAGAGCCTGCGTCCAAGAAGCTCTGCGGATGGCACCACCCGGGCCTGGTATCCTGCCGAGGATAGTCCTAGAGGTGAGGTCGATGTCTTTGTAGTAGACATGCAAGTTGACAGAGGGTAACAGGGCGGTCAACTCATCGACGGAGCCGTGATTCCTGCCGGGGTGAGTTTGGCCTGCCACGGCACACTTTGAGACATTGCTGATCAGGTCTAGACCCAAGTTGGCGGTGCCTTCTGGGCACTGGCTTACAATGCAGACACATACCCGGAACCTGAGGTCTTCCGTCCGGAACGGTATCTGATGGAAGACGGTCGAACTGAGGAGGAAGTCGACAAGTCAAAGGGAGGCTACTGGGCCTTCTCCACAGGTCCACGGAAGTGCCCCGGAATGAAGATGGCGTATCAAGAGCTGTATTTGACCGTCGCCCGGCTAGTCTATCTATTTGAGATGACCCCCGAGAAACCCGAGGAACTCGAAGAGAATTTCAAGCTCCTGGATCATTTTAGTAAGTTTCATCTCATCATGTCTACAGTGTCATGTTGTTGACAGACATATACAGATGTCAAGAAGAAGGGACCCTTTGTGTCGTTCAACTTGCGAGAAGGACAGACGGTGTAAAAGAGGCGAAACTGCCCTGGCTCCTGCTGAGGAAGCTTTCACTCACTGCATGAGGGAGAGTGTCTTGAGGCTGAGGTTGTGCAGAGACCTAGTTACAAATGACAAGGTGTTCAAAAGACCTGACTATTTCCCTCTGGTGGCCCCTTCACGACAAATACTCGGCGATGTCGGAGACTTGAGGTAGCGCCTAGAGCCACTTACTCCGACCGCTAGTATATTGTCTAGTATTTCTTACCTTCAAGGCCTGTAGGCACAAGCTCTTGGGTGAGGTCTGAGCTTAACAAAATATACCTTGTTACGTTACGAATTCTGGTCATTTGAATTCGCGTTGGCACAAAATTTAGTGCATGTCTCCTAATACCACAGGATTATGCGTCAGTGTCAGGTCAGGACAACCTGAAAACAGCGGCATTCTCCTCGAGGACAACTACAGCCTCATCTAATGATCAGAGTCATTCTGTTGCTGGGTCTGCCAGCTCGAGGCTCGCACAGCCAGTTCTTACACATTTTTCCGGGGGGAATTTAGGGTCGTTCTCCGGGAGCCCGGTTTACCATTCGTACCAGTCGAGCTGACGACTATTCGTAGCGCCCCTCCTTCCAATCGGTAACGTAGTGTACGGGACGGCGCCAGGCTAACCGTCACTGCCCTGGTTTGCAAAGACTGCCTAAGGCCGGGTGCCCGAGAGCAAGAGTGCGGGCGGTTGCGGGGTACGGGGTACATCTCTCGGTTGCTCGGTCGCTCGGTCACCTCAGTATCTAGTTTCGTTGAAGAGGGCGCCTTCTTCGCCGCTTCCCCCTCCTCCTCCGCTGCCGTCCGACCTGATAAATTGCGATGCTGTCGACGTACCTACCTGTCCTACGGATCTCCAGCCTTTGCATCAGACTTCCTTTCCATTGTGCTCGCCAAGAGAGAGAATTCGATCATGGCTCACGAAGCACAGTCGTCCAAGAAGACATCTAAATCCAAATCCTCGTTTTCTAATGGGACTTCGAGCTTAGAGAACAGGTGAGAATGCTTTTGGCCTCGACCTCTGGCTCCGCTGATACGCGCGCCCAAAATTGTTCAACTGCTACGTACACCTGACTAACCGCATGCGGCACCATTAGGCGTATGCGCAATCGCCTCTCCCAGAAGGCGTGTCGCCAGAAGCAAGCCATCTATGTCAAGGAACTCGAGACTCGGCTAGGCAATTCCACCCGACAGGAGAGCGAGCTGGTGAGAGATTTGCGCGAGGAGAACTTCAGCCTTCGGCAGCAGCTCCTCGAATGCCACAGAAAACTGGAAGGTGCCTGTGGAACGTTGAAAAGTCTTTCAGCGTCAGTCGAAGGCCTTCTGGACCTTGAGGTCAGTAAACCAGAGGCGCAAGCCTCCTATCACATTGCAAATGACTGTTGTTTACCTTCGCATGTAGAAGAAATCGAAGCCGCCAGGCGACGATAGCGACACGAATCAGGGCCAAATACCGGTTGAACCGACCCTGTCGGCCACTCCAGAGATCGTCAACAGCAGCCTCCCAGAGTTTAACAGGATTTTCGATGGCCAGGATGGCCTGTCCATGAGTGGCAGCTTGCAGCTTGAGCTCGAAGCTATCAGCTCCCCTCCAGCATCTCATGAAATGGATGCAAACTCCACTAAAGAGACTTGCGTGATAGTGGAGCAAGGCTTTGACTTGGTCCGCGACCAAACCTCCCTTATCACGACTGCCGAAAGCATGCTCTCCGAGAAACATGTCCCCAGAAGTCTGTCGACGCTGTCACACATGGGCCCTTCTGTATACGGGTCTATTGTTAGTAGACCTTGCCAGGACCGCAGCAACGGATTAGAAATAACCCATACTAATTCTGGTTTCTCTGACCATATTGAGGCGATCGAAAACTGTTTACGCAAGTGTATAGCTAATTCGGGGCTATTGCAACAATGTGGCTCAAACAGGTATGTTCTTCAGTTCTCGGCTGTCATGACATTTCTAGAAGATGGGAAATATGGACAAGTGAGAACTAATACATCCAAACAGTCTTGCTCAGGCCATTCGATTCATGATGTGGTCATTCGTCTGTGTGGCTTGGCCTGAAATGATCCCGTGGCATGCCTACACTAAGGCCCACGCCGCCATCTCCATGGTCTCTATGTGGCGACTAGTCCCTAATTCGGTGAACCGCCTCGCCGTAGGGTATCAGCCAACACCAACCCAACTGGCTCTTTTATATCCTGCTGTCATCGACTGGATACCTTTCCCATCACTGCGTGACAAGTTAATACTCTATCACTCGGCTAATCCGATGCTCGATACTATCATTTGCGATCTTGGAGAATCTTATGTTGTGGAAGGGGACCTCTCCAAGATAGTCGAAAATTTCTCATCCATGTTGGGGTGTGTTGGGGTTTTCGACCTCGTAAGAGCGATATCTGACGCTGGAAGAGAAAACCGTCTCTCTCCCCCGCCTCTGACTGCCGCATACGGCCTATTTTCCGAAGGCCACGCTTCAATGGATCATTTGGCTGGGTACGGCGGCCTCGAAGAGCTCGGTCCCGATGGCGGGAATTTGGACACAGGTGTATTAGCACCAAACGTGGAGGCGCTGTTCAAGTCCAGACAATACGCATACAGTGCGTACAAAGCGCTAGGCTTGGGAAAGGGGTCAGCAGAATTTCGCCTGGCTCCAAAGTTTTTTGAAAAACACCCTGAGCTTTATGACCCGAACGCAGACATCATTGGGCGCGGACTCTACTTACGGCCGACCGAACAGAAGTCCATGCAGAGTCCAGGGCGACCCGACCCTAGTTCCCTTGCCAACTATAGAGCCTTAGCAAAGTGGTCCTTGGAGATACCAGAGGAGCCAGTGGCCCAGAAGATGAATACACTGACTTAAAATATATGGTGTAGGAAGTCCACAGACCGGAGACCCTTATGAGGGATAGATGGTCACGGCAAGTTTAAAACGCGGCGGATCGGATTCATCACGAATCTCTGAGTCATCGTCTGACGACAAAAATTGGTTATAAGCCTCTTCGAAGTCTACTAGCGCGACAATTTCTGTCTACAATCTTCCACCACAGACCCCATCATACGAAGAGCCGAATTTACACTCTTGGAGGAGTCAAAATCAGTCTCATTCTCACTTTTCACGTTCCTTTCGGCCTCCAAAGCGGAAGTACCTTCGCAGAGCATAACAGAAATGTACGTGCTACTTCCACCTTCCCTTGACTCAGGCACTCAGTACAATTGACAGGTCGAGAGCAGAAATCTATCTGCTAGATTGTTTGCCTCCCTCATAGAAGATGGGTTCGATCTCGCTCTCAGAAGGCGAATTGCGAGTGCGCAAGCTCTTCAGCGCATTTGAGAGGGGTACCGAGGACAGTGTAGAAGCGGTCCTCGAGCTCTTCGCGGAGGATGCGATATTCTACGTATGGGGCCCGACGCTGCCCCCTGCTGTCGGCCACGACGCGATGCGCACTGCCTTCAAGGGGCTGAGCACGGTTCTTCAGGACTTCAAAGCTGACCTTGGAACCGTGGCCGTGTCGGGGAACGTGGTCTTCGTCGAACGGGTCGAACGATTCACCTACAAAGGGAAGAAAGCCATCGAGTTGCCACTGGTGGGCGTGGGTGAGATCCGCCCCAGTGACGGAAAGTTCACGTTGTGGAAAGACTACTTTGATTCCAAGGTCTTCGCTGACGTACAATGACAATCTCATCTTTCACTTCTCCTCATTCTTCCCGCACAATAATAGCAATAATCGCACAGTCACAATATCGACTACTTAGACTGTGAGTCACGGAATGCCAGATTCCGGAAATGGTCCCTATCCGAGTTCTGTACTCCGTATAACGGTGAGCGATGACTGGAGAATAAGTGCGTCACTCCTGCTAGTTACAGCACACCATCACGCTTTAATCATAATCTGTGCAGCTGCGGTTCATTGATTTTGGGCAGTCTGTGTGTTGAACAATTTGTTACTTAGACCCTGAAACCAGACTCGTGTCCCGGTTTCATCTGACCAGAAACGCTCATACAAGAGGGCTGCCGCAGCTACAAGAGCTTCACAAACCCACAAATGCTGTAGCTCATTTCTTATTCATGTCCGCCAATATAGATCAAATGAATTTACCTCGAAATTGTCACACTCCTAATGGCGTGGATGCCACGACGAACGGCGTGCACCATACCGGCAACCCAACCACCCAGGACAATGCTGCCGTCGACGATTTTGCTGTTGATCCAAACCCGGCTTGGACTCCCCGCAAGAAATTAAGAGTCATTACAATCGGGGCAGGGTTCTCAGGCCTCACATTCGCCTACAAGCTGCAACATCAAAATCCTGAGATGCAAGACTTGGTCTCTCACACAATATTCGAGGCTAGAGAAGACATTGGCGGAACGTGGCTAGCCAACGTTTACCCCGGTGTTCAGTGCGATGTTCCTGCACATATCTATGTAAACAGTCTCGTCGCGCTCCATTGCATCGTTATCCATCCTTCTTGACCACTCTCGTGCGATCTGACAAGTGCGAAGGCATTTCCTTTCGACCCAAACCCAGACTGGACACACTTCTTTGCCACCGGCAAAGAAATTCATGAGTATATGCAAAAGATCACCAAGAAGTGGAACCTTGACCAGGACGTGAAGCTTAGCCACAGGGTGATCGAGACCGTTTGGCAGGCCGAATCGGGCCAGTGGAAAGTGACCGTCGAGAGCGAAGGGAGACAGTGGGATGAGTATGCAGAAGTTTTGGTTTCTGGGCAAGGAGTGTTGAAGTGAGTGCCGTCATTTTGGGGGAGTTACGCTGCGTATCTTTTTCCATCCGCTGACAATGTAATCTATCACTTTCCTCTATCAACTTACTGACCTTGACCCTCAAAGCTCCTGGCAATGGCCAGAAATTGAAGGACTCCATGATTTCAAAGGACACAAGTCTCACTCGGCAAACTGGGACGCCAACTACGATTACTCCCACAAACGTATCGCATTGATCGGAAATGGATCCACCGGAGTCCAAGTGCTCCCACAGCTTGCTCGACTCCCCGAAACAGAGATTCTGAGCTTTCAGCGAAGCCCGAACTGGGTTTACAATCCAGTGACACCAGGAGCGCTAGTAGGTAAAGACGACCCGCGAGCAAATCCAGAGTTCACGGAAGAAGAGAAGCTATATTTCCGTAAAAACCCGGATGAGCACAGAGCTTATCGTAAGTTAATCATTTCGAAAATAAACAAAGGGTTTTATTTGGTAAGGGCTCAATTGCGATTTGGGTTCACTACCATTATTTACATGTCAACCTGCAGTATGTCAAGGATTCGCCCACGAACATTCGAGCGACCAAAGAGGCGATCGACCAGATATCCGAAAAGCTCAAATACGACCCTATGCTTTGCAAAGCCCTCATTCCGGACTGGCCCTTGGGTTGTCGACGCATTACACCCGCAAATGGGTACTTGGAGTCATTCTTGCAGCCAAACGTTCAACTTATCACGAGCCCAATCGTGCGCATCACTGAACATTCCATTCTCACGGCTGATGGCAGTGATTATCCGGTCGACGTTGGTGCGTACAACCTTTGTCCCCTCTCCGTCGCTGGTAGACACTAAATACGCCGCACAGTTGCTTGTACCACTGGTTATGCCGTCTCGTGGTGCCCTCAGTGGCAGATGATCGGCCGCAATAACGTCGACCTCATCAAAGAATGGACTGTTGATCCCCAGTCGTACCTGTCCCTCGCGGCGCCAGACATGCCTAACTATTTTATGTTCTTGGGCCCGAACGCCGTGGTCGCGCATGGATCCTTGGTCGAAGCTATAAACTGGACCGGCGACTACGTCATTCAATGGCTTCGAAAAATTGCAACAGAAGATATCAAGTCCATCGTGCCCAAGACTCAAGTTGTCAAGGATTTCATCCGCTACGGCGTTGAACTCCACAAAAAGTTTGTCTGGACCGGTGGATGCCGAAGTTGGTTCAAGAGGGACACTGTGGATGGCAGGGTCATTGCGGCGTTCCCAGGTAGTGCCCTTCTGTTCAAAAACCTTGCTAGCCAACTCAGGCCTGAGGACTTCGAGATTGAATATCGCAGCAAGAACCGGTGGCACTTCCTTGGGAACGGGTTCACCAGCTACGAGTTGGATCCCAACAACGATCTGGCCTGGTATGTAGAGAAGTAGAATACGACAGATGGCATTGTTACTATTGTCCATAGGAATCTGGATCATTCGGCATGCTGCACATATTCATGAACTCTCATTGGCCCGCAGATAGTCTTCTTTCAACGATAGTATTGACTGTTGAACCTTGAAATCCACCCGTAGGTCGTAGACCCAAGAGCACGTCTCACAGTAGACTCACCCTCCCACTCTCACCAATGCCTAACACCCGTTCTCCTTCTCCCCCAAAATCTAAATCAATGATGTTTGCCCGTATGGATGCTGTTTGCATCCGACTTTGCATCAGAATAGCCGTCTTCATCACGATTTGAGCGTACCTCTGAAAAATGAAGGCTATTGGCCCTCTTTATTCCTATCTTATCTATGAGGTATCGAGAGAATTTGGACTAGCCCATAGATCTTTGAAAGAGATAAAACTAAAAAAACCCGGCCTTAAGTTACTTCGTGCTTGTGCTACTTCTCAATTGTGCGCCCTAGAACAGCCAAGGACTGTTTTAGTCGTCTATTTATCTCTCCCTCCGATACACGCGAACCGGCAAGGCCCCTTTTAGCAAGGATAAGTTTGACCGGCATGCGGCATCCCACACTTTCTCGTTGAAGGTGTCATCGAGCTCAAGCTTCAGCTTCTTGAGCACCTCGGCCAGGAAAAGTCGCATTTCAGCCAAGGCCAGATTTTTGCCAATACAAGCATATTGTCCTGCACTGAAAGGGATAAACCCTTTAGTGTCGTGGACGAAATCGGCTGGCCGCTCGCTGTCAATCCATCTCTCCGGCACAAACTTGTCGGCGTGAGTGAAGTTACGCTCATCCCGTTGTATGGTCCATCCATGGACGCTAACCTATATGAACAACAGCCGATGTTATCAAACCAGCCTTCTGTGCCTGGAAATGATACTGCTACTTGCCTGTGTATTCTCGGGGACGAGTTCTCCTTGGATGACATGACCACCACGTGGAATTGTCCTCTGCATACCATTTGGTCCCGGCGGATAAAGTCTGAGAGATTCATTGATTGCTCCGTTCATGTATTCGGCAGTGGCTAAGAAGGTTGTGTCAGCTGAGAGGAAGAGCTTTTCCAACAATCAGACAGGGCTACCGAAAAGTTTTGCGTTCAGCTTCTCTGGCGAACCATCCCATAGCTGATCGATTTCTTCAGTAAGACGTCGTTGTGTGTCGGGATACTTGGTCAAAAAGTACAATAGGTATCTGTTGGAGTTTTAGTAGGAAAAGATGATGAGATTTGAGTCCACTCTAGAAACTGACGTCAAGCAAACTGCTGTCGTGTCTGACCCCCCAACAATTAATGCTCCCGAGTCGGCGGATAGTTCGTCATCGTCGAGATTTCTGGCAACAGTAAGCTCGCCGAATCCCAGTCCACGATGGATGATGTGACAGTAAGCTCACACGCCCTTCGAATCAGAGGCCAGCAGATAAGAAAAGATGTCCTCTCGAGAGGTTCCTCTGGCCTTTCGGTTCTGATACTGTTGTGCTGATATCTCCATAAACTTGCGGCCCTCTTTCCTTGTCTCTGCATCCACGGGCACGAAAGGTACTATTGTGAGATGAGTTTTTGCGCGATCAAGGTCATACCTGAAAATGTACTTACATAACGGGTTTGCCCATGGTGTGTGAGAAAAGATACTGAGAACGCGAAGTGCTTGATGGAGGAACTTCATATACAGATGTTGTTCTGCTTTCTCCAACATGCCGAAATCTTGTCCAAATACCAGATCTCCCATAACGTCAAATGCAAAAAAATCACACCAGTCACTCATGTTACAGACTTCTAGGAAAGGATACGTCAGCAAAAGTCTTTGTTCTTAATGGGCTCGCAAGCTCTCTTGGGTCTACCCACGACCGTTACGGCGCTCCAATTGAAGTGACAAACGTTGTGTATGCTGGATGACTCGGCTTTCATAGCTTTGAAGGGCCTTGGGACCAAATCCAGGATCCCAAATACGTCGTCTGGCTTTATGCTCGGTCAGGGATCGAGTGCTCGCCATGGACTTCGCCTTGACATTGGGATTGCCATCATACCACGGACCCTTGGCTAACTTGATTGAACCAGCTCCGTGAACACGCTCCACTGAGTCTGGATGACAATAAGAAAGCTCGTTAGGTCCAACCCGGACGATATCACCATACTTTTGAAGAATAAGTAGATAATCACCAAGAAGAATCTTACACCGACCTTGGAGTGAAGCAACTGCAGCCACAGATGAGTGTCTCCCCTGATCGCGTGGATCATTGCATGGAACTTGGTCAGCTTGGCCAAGACTGGTCCGGGATATTTCTGAAGAGGATTGAAGAAAAGACGATAGCCGGTTAAGAGGGCGCTGTTTTCTCTATCAAATTCTGAATATGAACGGCATGGGGAGTTACAGACCCAAAAACAATCCAAAAGTTCAGGTTCAACGCCACTAGCTTGATCAATGGTGTTGAAAGGGATGCAGTATTGCGCCAACTCAGTGAGACAGCCAGTACAAATTCCAGGATGCCGACAAATCCTAGGAATCCTCTGCAAAGAAATGTTGGTTTGATCCTTTCAGTCATTTGGACAGGACCGGGGGGTATTCTCCGTACTCACATTGCAGAAGGTTCGTGCCAATGACACAAGAGATAACATACTGTTGCCAAAAGGGACGCCCCGACACTGTAGGATGCCCACGTGTCGGGGATGTTACGGGTGTGGAACTCCATGGCAAGGATTTCGGGCTGAGCGAAATCAAACGACCAGAACTAGAGACATTTCCCCCGTATCTCAGGCCACCTATATGTAATCAGAGCGCATCTTTAAGATTATTAAGCTACAGGGATCGCAGAGTCGATATTGTAAAACTGTGACGTTCGACGTTGATCCCTCAGGACGAGCTGCCTATATGCTGTCATGTTTTGCGGCCTGTGCTTGTACTTGACTCAGAAGACACCCTGTCAAGATGAAAGGCGGAATGTTGGCCTTCAACTCCGCCGTCTGCATCTTGACGGCACTTTTCATGACTCAACCCAAAGCCTTACGGAGAATACGCGCCAACGCTCCGTTCGACCAATAGCAGATGTAATACTGATCGACCTGGATACTACTCCTGGTTGGCCCTGAAAAGGACTAAGAGGGGAGAATTACTGATAGTTACTGACTCTCGTACAATAAGATAAGCCGCAATGGAAAATCGTCTAGTGCAGCTTCCAGACGGGGAGGAAATCTATTGATTGCGACCATTTTGAGCATTGTGGATCAGGAGACATAACCTGAAATACATTCCTGTAGAGAATGCGCTGACTGATAAAGAAATTCACAGTCATCACTTCTCGAAGGAGGCCCTTATCTGCGCGGGGAGTCACCAGAAAGTGCGTCACGGCTGGCTTCCACAGCGCCTGGTCTTTCATGGCTTAGCTCAGCTTAGAGATACGGATAGTACTTTAAGCAATGCATTAAGCTCAATCATCTCAGATGTCCATTTTCGGTTCCTGGAATAAGTCTCGCTCTCGAGCTCACGCTGCCAATTTACTAGGCTTGTTTGTTATCATATCTCCCTATAGGTTCGCCCGTCGTATACCCTGGCGAAACGATGATCTCCAAAATATCCTCGGATTACGAGGTGCTGGACCAGTACCAGTCGGACTCACGGCACCTGAAAATCATTCACGTGGGTGCAGGCGCTTCGGGACTCTTGGCTGCCTACAAAGCGGAGAGACTATTGAAGAACTTCGAATTAACCGTGTACGAAAAGTAAGACGAACTACTACTTTATGTGGGAAATGATTTCCAGTACAACCCATCAATGACTGACAGCTATCGCGGTTGTCAGAAACCCAACGATCGGAGGGACTTGGTACGAAAATAGGTATCCGGGTTGTGCCTGTGACATTCCAGCTCATGTCTAGACCTATTCTTTTGAACCGAAATACGATTGGTCTGGCTTCTACGCATACGCAATCGAAATCCAAAAATATTTCGCCGATTTTTATGAGAAATACCAGCTAGATCGATATGTACGTTTGAACACGGAAGTCCTGAGTGCCACGTGGCTAGAAGCAGAGGGCGAATGTAAGTACTGTCGGTTCAATTGGAGAATTGGCGGCTAACAACGGGCCAGGGGAATTGGAGCTGAAAAAAGACGGCATTATATTTACAGATCGATGTAATGTGTTAATCAATGGAACTGGTGTTGTCAATAAATGGAAATGTGAGAGGCTCTCTGTCAGGACATGTAACTGGTTCTAATACGTGCGAGTCTAGGGCCAGCGATTAACGGTTTACACTCATTCGAAGGGCCTCTGTTGCACAGTGCCAATTGGGACTCCAGCTTGAATTGGAAGGACAAACGAATCGCAGTATTAGGAACTGGCTCCAGCTCTATTCAGATGGTACCCTGCTTAGCAAATGGTGAGTTGGTCTCATTAAATACTCCACAGAGGAGAATAAACCATTCTGATGCCTTTATACCACACCAGGCGCGAAGAGATTAACAGTGTTTGCTCGAAATCAGACATGGATTGCCCCTCAAGTTCCATCCGATGTGCAAAAGGCAGATCCAAGCGGCGAGACGCCGGCAGCAGCTGGAAAGCATCACTATATTGCTGCGGAAAAAGAGAGGTTTCGTACCGATCGAGAGTTTTTCCTACAATATCGAAAGAACCTTGAGTCGAGGCTGACCGTCTCGTTTCCTGTATTCATTCGTGGGACGGAGCAAAACATCAAAACGAAAGAGGCCTTTCGAGAGAGTATGCTGCGGAAGATAGGCCCTGGACATGACGACCTCAAAGCAAAACTCATCCCCAACTGGTCACCGGGCTGTCGAAGATTGACGGTATGTATTGGCGCTTTGAATGAATATCCTTTTGATTGAAGCCGGAATTGCGCTGACAATTATGTTGTGCAGCCTGGAGAGGGATATCTTGAGACTTTGACTCAAGACCGTAAGTACTGAGCACCCTTAGGCACCGAGCCAAGTCAGAGTCAGTAACCGTTTGGGCGTAGACGTCTCGGTGATCTACGACGAAATTGTGCAAATCACCCCAAAAGGGATTTTCACCGCATCGGGAAGCGATCTCGAGTTCGATATAATCGCCTGTGCGACGGGTTTCTATACCTCGTACAGGCCTCATTTGTGAGTGCTTCTCCCTGCGGACGACTTATGTCATTCTCCATCTAACATCTATCAGCAAGATTGTCGGTATGAATGGCGCCGTGATGCAGGAGGATTGGAGCGAAGTAACTCACCCTTACCTTTGACATTTTCCTTTCGCTTTTTGCCCACAAGGAGGAGCACTAATGATGTTCTGGCAGGAGCCAAATATCTACCTAAGCATCACAGGACCTAAATATCCCAATTATTTTGTCATCAATGGTCCGACCGGAAACTGGGGCCAAGGCTGCGCACTTCCGTCGGTGAGCCGACTACCTTTGCCTCGATTCCCTATAATATAACAGCTGACTAACAGGTGTGATTTAACTTGTGCAGCACGAAGTGCAGTTGGAGTACGCTTTCCAATGCGTCAAGAAGATGCAAGAAGAAGGCATCAAGGCCATGGAAGTACGGCAGGAGCCAACGACCCAGCTCAACGTGCATATCGACGCCTGGCATCAGAAATACAGCGTGTGGGCAGAAGATTGTCGCTCTTGGTACAAAGACAACAATCCAAATGGCCGGGTGTACATATGGCCTGGCAGCCTGTTGCATCATTTGAAGGCCCTGCGAACGCCGCGCTACGAGCACTACGACCTGCGCTACCTCAACAACAATGTCTGGGCCTTCTTGGGCAATGGGAGGACAGATCTGGAGTTGGCGCACGAGAAAGGGCAAAAAGTCGACCTGGCACCATACATTCGCGATGAAGACGTGCCTTGGACTCTTGACTTGGACAAACTGTTGGCCTGAAAACTACCCTTAATACGTCTGCTACATAGCATATATCTGCTGTTGACAGTTGAGCTGAATACCCATGTCCAGCTGAAAGATTCGCCACTGTTACAGCTGGACAGGCACCTATTGTCTCAGATCAGCCGAGTATTCTCGTGATGGACAGCCATTCTGACACTCAGGAACTGATTCTGACTGTCAGCTATTTGTACATATATATCAGAGATCCTTCCTGTTCTGAGGAAGGGAACAGATCAGAGTACATACTATTCCCAGTACGGGGGTTGCCCACTGGACGAGGAAATGCTATTCCCAGTACGGAAGGTTAGGGTATGGAGCTATCTCGCTTGGTGAGGCACTCCGAGGAGTCGGGGAGCATGTAGCTGCACATGTTGCTGTCGTGGGGGTTCAACCACCCGGAAAGCCTACCCTTCGCGCAACTTCGGGCGAACCTCGGGCAGGAGCGGTGGGAGGAGCCGGAGGAGGGCCACCACGGAAAGGAGGCAAAGGAGTTCACGGAACAGAAGCTAGCTGAATTAGACAATTACGACGAGATGGTGGAGAGGATGGAGGGCCTGCAGGAGGATGTAGAGAACGGGAAGATGACGAGAGAGGCATTCGTTGCACTACTCTGGGAATCAAATGGGTTTGGAAAAGCCTGATTGATTACTTTAGTGATGTGTTTGCTGTGGCTGATACATTCAGCTTTATGTTAGCTCATGAAAGTTTGAATACTCCAGGCTACAACTGGAAAACTACGGCACACAAGAGCTACCGACCAAATACCAAGTTGCGGGGTCATATTGATTCAACGACGGAGCAGAGCCTCGTGAAGCGAGTCGGCATCCACATCCGATAGATGCTTTTCGTGAATTTGTACGCTGTGCACTTGTCCCTGCCTTCGAGCTCGTGAAGCTAAGTTGTGGATCAGATATCGGTAGAAGGTAGTCTTCGCAGCCTCGATAATAGGGTAATGACCATAGATCCTGACGGATTCATGATCGTAAGAGATCCAAAAGGGCAAGGATCTCACGGTCAAGCTCTCTCTCTCTCGTCGGACCAGTCGAAACAGCTCAACAACCGCTCGCGCCGCGAGCGTCATGCTGTGAACGTTCTGGCGATCTGCCACGTCGAGTGCCGCGGCGCCGCACTTGACCTCACACATCAGGTGTGGGAAGCCCCATAAGCCCTACGACGACCTCCGCCAGAGTGCAAGAGATTCATCAAGAGTGGCCTTGTGGACACGTTGGAGAGGTATTAGAGGTAAGGAGAAAATCTTAGCTCTGCTGTGAAGAGGACTAAGAGGAAAGCGGTGTAGGAGATGGACATTGGTATTGCTGATTGGTAGAGGTACACTCAACCACTTTCCCCTCTGATCTAGATGTCTCCAGTCATATGAATACCAAGTCTCATCTCTTCTTTGGTTTCTTGAATGTCGCCTGTTCTGATATTTGGGTAAAAGAAGCTCCTGGTGTCACCTCCTGGGGATCAAGGAGTCTCAGCTCCTCGCCATCGATAGCTCCTGGCTCCGAGAGGTGATGGCTTTCCAGACCTTGTGAAAGTCCTGATGAAGGGAATTGTAGATCCGATTCCTCGGAGACTTCAAAATGTATATCGGGTGGTATTTGTCAGGAATCCGTCGGCAACGTAAAGATCTATCTAATAACTATATATTGCCTATCTATAGGCGTACTCGACGAGACTCCGAAGCTGGAGAGCTTCGAAGGAGATACGCGTGCGTAACTGCTGCTAAATACATATATGCCCCTGAGTCTTGGCATTCATGACACTATTATAGAATAGTATTAGTAGCTTACATTAGAACTTTTACCGTCGCTAACTGGAGATGATAGAGACTCCTAGCCGGTTTTGGTTGAGTCTTATTGACCTCAATTAAGCGGTCTAAACGGGGGCTTTATCGAAGAGGATTTTGCTTTTATCCTTTCTTGATGCCTTCAGGACGATTCCCTTCGCTGGTCAGTCGAGTACTAAAGATGGAAGCGAATAAATAACCTAGGTGTGACAGCTTCAGGGACTACCATGTGGTCTTCCGAGCGGTTACACTATCTCGACGTGCCATGGTTGCTCTAGACGAGGGAGAAAGGAATAGGCAGCTTCATGTAGTTGCAGGCGAAGTGCCAACACGGTCGGACCTAAAGCGCCAGGTTTGGGCGAATGTGACATCACACGAAAAGAGAATGGTCAGCAGCGCTTCTTGGCAAATACAAACTCCATGTCGTAATCAATTGGCTAACGTCGGAGTATTCAACACTCGCAGTAGCGCCTGCTTCGCACTCATGAGGTGGAGTGGTTGTTGCCAGCATAATTAGATATAAAAGGGCAGTATTAAGTTGCGCGCGAAGTCCTAAGCGCAGGCAGCCACTGTGGACCGAATACCGGGCTCAATGGAGAAGAAAAGTTAGCCGAGTAAGATGCATCAGCACACTCTTTCACGTGAGTGGGTGTCCGTGTCGCAAATTTTCCTAATGCTCCCTCACCCTACCATGGACTGACCCGTTTATTCAACACTTTCCCGAAATACGCCTGAGTAGGCGTTGTCAAATTTGTCGACATATAGGATCAGGCTCGTTTGGAAAAGTATACATTGGTAGGATACGAGACACCATGAAACATTTTTTCTGACTGATCTACATAGAATGCGATGTTCCTACAGGTGACGTGGTGGCCGTTAAACTCTCGAGCACCGTTCGGTCGCACCATCATTCCTGCGCCAAGAAATCGAGATCTATGAGGAGTTGATTGGACAACCCGGCATCCCTCGAGTGTACTGGCATGGCTACCACTGTGATTTCCAGGCGGTGGTGTTTGAACTTCTGGGACCCAATCTTGAAGGTTCTCTTCCAATATTGTGACGATAAATTCTCACTTAAGACCACGTCGATACTGATGGATCAGCTTCTCCATCGGATTGAAAGTCTCCACGACACGGGATACCTCCATCGCGACATCAAGCCTGAAAACTTTCTGCTAGGCACCGGTAAGTAGGGCAACCGATTTTGGACGCGCGGCCTATCGGAGTGGCTCACACGACCGAATCATGAGTCACAAGGCGGCAGCCAGCCCCAGGATTTCCTTGGTCGGCACCTGCCAGCGTCAACGGCCGGTTGAACGTCGGTATACGCTGTCATTGTCTTCTCTCGTTAGATTCGATAGCTAAATTGGGGCCCATGTAGCCCCTTCGTGGAGTGATGGCAAGGTCTGCAGGCGTTCAGTCGGTAGGAAAAATACAGGATTGTTTTAGAGCGGAAGAAGACGATCCCGGTAGCCGAATCATGCCATGGTCTGCCCGCAGAGTTTGCCACTTGCATAAGCTACGTTCGTGAAATGGATGATCAAGAGAAGCCCAATTACAAGTATTTCCGGCAATTGTTCAATCTACTCTTTCGCTGCAAAAGTTTCGAGTATGATAATGTGTTCGACTGGACGATTCGAGAGTTTGAGAGGCTTTCTAATGTGGACCAGCAACGTCTCGTCCCCCCGTACAAACGTTCTTGGGCAAAGTACGAAGCAGGGCCGTCCAGACAGGCGTGACCGGAAGGCTTCAAATCAGATCTGATGAAAATAATGATAATCAGAGTTCTCCGTTCTTTCCATATTGGATCCAAGGCTTGAGACACCGTTTTGGCTGCAGATTGTCACTTGGTTTGCAGGCCGGTCAATGCTAACCAGTCATTTCAAACACTGTGCGCCTACTTAATTATAGTGTCTGCAAGCGCTTTAAACTCTTGGGGCAAGTACGATGAGATATTGGCTATCAACCCAATCTCGCCAAGACGTTAAATAATCGCTCATTGGATGATTGTTTCCGCATAAGTTGAAGACTAGTTAAAGGTTAGCGCCATCAGAGCTACTATTCACTGTACTCCTGTACCTGAAGGATAGTCGTTCTCTCCTCCATTTGTGTTTCCCCAAGCAGATAAAGGAGAAATCGGGACGCTCTTATCCCTTCATAGTCCACCGCTTGACTACGGCCCATGCTCCTCTATAGGTCCTAGTGGCCGTACCTCTTTCCAAACAGCTCTTCGCAGCGCTGTTGTAGTTCTCCGCCAACAAGGTTCTTCATGGCAATCACGGATGACTTCCACGAGACAAGGCAATGGATGGAGCCATCCTCCCCCACATAGACTTCTTCAACATCTGCCACCTTGCCAACTTCACTCACAGGGGAATCTCAGGTTGACGGCGAAGCAACTTTTAATTGTTTAACGGCGGTGCCAAGCAATGGCTGGGCGGCATGATTCAGGCAGTCTGCGTCTAGCGTTAGATTAGGCACAACCAAATTAAAGGGCCTAGAGTAAAGTGTGATGTTGCACAAAGACCTGATTTGGGGCTTTACCCCATTTAGAGATATAACTTGGTCGCCGTTACGTCACCCAGAATCGAAAGTGGTTGCCATGTCACGCGCAGGGTTAGCCTAGACAGTGTTTTTGGAGGTAAATTGGCAACTATAGGGGGGTGCCGGTAATAGGGACCCCTGGCCCAGATGTGGGCGCGATTGATCCGTTGGTCAGGCCGAATGACACCATGCTCAGTCACGTACAAGGGAGGCTCAGGTTGAAGCAGCGAGCCTCAGGGCCACGGTCAGGTCCAAAGATGGAAATGGAAAGTATTCATGTCGAGATTCCGACGTCGGATTAGCTGTTACAGGATCGAAACTGGTCGAATACTTCCTTTAGAAGGAGTCTTGTTCGTTCTAGGGTTGATGGAAAGTTTCGGCTGCGTCAAGATGTTCAGACGGCTTTTGACATTAAGCTTCTCCTTTATAGATTGTGCAAAATGATGTTAATGTGAAAGGGTCAAGGATTCTTTCATGTACGGACCGTCATTGACCGCATCCAACAAGGACGGCCGCTAAATCACAAGCTTGAACACGGATGAGACGACAGAGGACGAAAAGAGGGAGGAACATTTACTGACTATACCCTGATATCCCCTCTGCCGGGCAAGGCAGAATATATAGTGGATGATACGTACTATAAGTTAATAGTACTTAGATGGTTCTTAAGAAATAAGGGAGGGTGATGTAGCCTAGTATAGACAGCGCGTTAAGGTAGCCGATATGGATTGAGTGTAAAGCAATAGATTCTAATAACTATTCGATTAATTCCTATGTCCGTGTAAATGGGTCAGTATTGAATGCAGTGCGAGACGCGAAGTTAGGCACAGCGGCAATTTAAGAATCCTACTAAGGCAATGGGCTGGAGTCCGTCCCTTAGAAAGGTTCCCCGACTATGTTAAGGTCGGAGCAGATCGTGTAGTACTCGTCTTTACCATCAGGGAGCCCTGGAGTTCCGGGCTCTATTGGCTACTACCACACCTAATATAAGGTGTATAAAGGATCAATCGGTACGTCAGTCGGTATAAGGACATTAGTTTCACACCACTACTCGTTGACGGATCTAGGTTAGCTAGGAGTCAGATCAGAGTATTCCTTCTGGCGAGCTACGGAGACGTCGCCGTCGTTGATTTAATAACACTGGCCGTCGTTAAAGTTCTGAGCTGCGAGTAGTCTACCTCGCCGATCACCCCCTACGCCGTTCGTTGTCCATTGAAGAACCTCCGTTAGTAGGTCGTTATCCGTTGGCTGGCTAGTGCCGAAGACGAAGACTATCCCGGCTCCTTGCGGCTTACTAGGTTGGATTTAGGGGAGGGTGACGTGGCCGTTTTCGAGATATTTCATGGCGATATAGACTCCGGGTGATGCGCTTAAGCGGGGGGTAACCGTTCGTTTAATTAGCACTTCTTTAAATGGGTGCGCATATAAGATCGGAGTCATTCACTCTGGTTCTTTCCGAAGCTAACGGTGGTAAAAGATATATCATCATATCATCGTTAAAACCCGGATTAGAGCGCGAGACGTAGCCACGAGGGTAACCATTATTCCTAATGAAGAACCTATTTTTAACTACCGTTAGCTGTTTATTCTATTGAACTAGGGCGAGGCTACTAGCCATGGGCGTCAACTCATACGGCGGTGGGATAGCCTCTTCACAGCACGCACACTTAACCAAAGGAAGTTCTCCCGTTCATAATTTAATTAATTATTCTATGAATAATAGTCCCCGAGGACTATATAAGAAGAATCTTAGTCTAGCGTCGACGCCTCAGCTAATCATAAAACTATTCCTCACTTTAAACTTCTCTTATTATATTTCGCTTATTATCGCTCGCTTTCTTAACGACCTCGCTTAAGACTTAACTATAATCTTCGTCTATTCTCTTAGAAATATTAACTCTTCTTTATACTCTTTAAACGCTTTATAAAGTTATCTAATTATCTTTTATTTAATTTCTTTAGATTTAAATTCTTTAACGCTCTTAGATCTTTACTATACTTTAATTTCCGTATAACTATCTTATAGATCTTTAAGACGATAACGAAACGATTCTCGATATCGACTTAAGTATTAAATAAGATAATTTATAAGCGAGTCGTCTCGTAAGTTTTCGTATTAATAATCGCTAAAGAATTCTTAATTATCTAAAGTCTATAATTACTAATATTCTACTAAAGATTAGATTTTAGTTATATTTCTCGGAGTGAAATATTAAAAACGCTATTTCTTAATTATTAAATAAAGAAATTAAGTACTATTTTAGTCGTATTTAATTTATCTTATATAGAATTAATAATTAAGTATAACTATATTATCTTATCGACTATAAAGATTAATTAATAATATTCTTTATTTATTAAGTCGTCGTTAAAGATAATAAGTCGTCTTATATTATCGTTAATATTTCTTTAGGCTTTAAATTTTATCGGTACGTTTATATTTCTATATTAGTTAACTTAGAAAAGAAACGCGGCGTCTAAGATAACGATATATCTTATATATAATTCTTTTCGACTTACTATAATTTCTATATTAATAAAAGACTTATTAACTTATTCGTTATATCTAGAACTTAGTAAAGCGCTTCGAAGAGTATTACTTAAGATATTAATAACTCTATAGTCGAAATAACTAAATAGAACTTAGTAATTTATAGTCTTAAACTTTTCTTTCTATTACTTTATTAATTATTCGAGATTCTTTATAGAATCTTTATAAAACGCGACGATTCTTTTTAATTCTTCTAAATATAAGACGATTTCTTTCTTAACTATATATAGATAGACGAATATATATTATTTAAATATATATTTAATAAGTAAGCTTAATATATTAATTATCTTTTTAGCTTTAAATTTATAATATCGTTATATATTTTCGTAGCTAACTAAGAGTAAATTCTTTTTATAATTTATTTATCTTATATACTTTTAAATTATTAATTACGTAAATATAATAGAGCTTCTAGAATTCGAAATCGAATTTAATAAATTATTAAATATATTTCTTTCGAGAAAATATAGTAATAGAACGACTTCGAAAGAGTTAATAATACGTATTTCTTAGTTTATAAGTTACTATTTAATTTTAATTTCGTAAAAGAGCTTAGAAATTCTCGGCTTCTTTATACTTAAATTATAATCGAAACTTAAAATTACGAAGCTTAGATCGAAGATTATTATCTATAATCTTAGTCTCTTTATAATATCTAAGATATTAATCGAATTATTTCTTATTTAATTTACTTATTTTTAACTTCTAAGAATAGAGCGTTCTTCTTTTAGTTTCGTAAGCTATATTAAACTTTCTCATTTTATATTCGCTAAACTAAATCGTATTGAAAGAGTATTTTACTATAGTCGTATAGAGATTAAAATAATAAAAGTAAACGTAGTAAGAGTCGCCGAAGTAAAAGTTTAATCGTCTTAAGTAATTCGCGTATTTAGACGTCTTACGAGAGTATTAAAAGAATCGATAAGATCGACGAAATTCGTAGCTCGAGATATAGAAAAATTATTAATATTAAAATAAGTAATAAGTCGATGAATTATTAAGTCTAAATTATTCTTAGTAATTAAACTTTATATAGTAAGTAGTATTATTAATCTAGATCTTTCTTCGAATATAATTAAATTATTTTAATTTATA